AGAAACTCACTGATGGACAATTAGATGCAACTCGTTACTTGGTCAAAAATGACCTGCTTTACGTAAAATTCTCACCTACTGGTGAACCCTCTCGCTTCTTATGCTACATTCCAAGGGGCCATAGACTTAGTCTACTTCGCATCTTTCATGACGAGCATAACCATCCAGGGGTAGACAAAACTATCGACTTAATAGTCAAACACTTTTGGTTTCCGGGGTTGCGAGGATTTGTTCGTAAATATGTAGCGCACTGCTTAGTGTGCATTTCTCACAAAAAAATTGCCCGAGCACCGCTTCAACCTATTCATTCATGGGAGAAACCAGAAGCACCCTTTGAGACTGTCCACATGGACGTTTTGGGACCTCTGCCTGAGATGGACGGTTATCGCTACGTTCTCATAGTCATAGACGCCTTTTCCAAATTTTGCCTCCTGTATCCTATGTATCGGCAAGAGACTGAGGAGTTGAAGCGTTATGTAATAAACATCATTTCCTTAATAATAATAATAATAATAATAATAATTTATTCGCATTAAGTGTGGTGTACATAGTTGGCTTAATATATAATATTTCTATTAACAGGTTCTCACACTTAGCTGGTAATAGCATGCAAATTTACCTTAAAATGAGTATATCTATCATAATTATTAAAATATCTTATACATTTAAAATAATAAGTCTCAATAATGTCAAATTTAAACAAATACCTAATTATTTTTGTAGTCAAAAAATTCTTCAATTGAGTAAAAACAACAGTTAGACAACCATTTGGATAACCTATTTCGGAACATTGTAATTGGCGTATTTTTTAAATCAATCGGTAGCGAATTATATATTTTGACACACATAGGTAAACAGTTACGACGATACACTTCTCTTTTTATGTTGACCGGTACAGTAAGTCTGTCCGGAAACCTCGTGTTATATAAAGGTTCATGTCGTTTGAATAGTGAATAATTTTGCTTGACGAAGGTACAGGCACTCAAAATATAAATACTAGGCACTGTTAATAAATTTAATTTCTTAAAAAGTGGTCTGCACGAAGCTATCTTCGCACGAGCAGCAGCCTAGTACTTCAGGGACAAGAAGACCTTATGAGCCCCTGTTAACTACTTCAGCCAGGGGTGTAGCTGATGGAACAACACCCAGCATGGCCGAAATGCCTGCTGCTAACGAGCTACAGGCCAACGCTTCGCCTGACGACGTGCCAGAGCCAGGACTTTCCATGCCTCTGCTGGACACCGATCTGCGGAGCTAAAACGACTGCAAGAGAGCCCGGGGACGGTCTCCTGTCAGGAGAGGCCGTGTTGGAGATGAGAAGGCGGGATGGGAGAGGGTTCGACCGCCGCCGAACCCGATGATATAAAAGGCAGCGGCGACAGGCGAACGCTCGCTATTCTGCTCCATCCTTCGCTGCGCTAACACGTTATTGTGTCGTATTATTTTTCAAATATTTTTTCGTTATAAAATTAAAATTCTTTTCGTATCAATTTGTTTTAAAAAAAATTACTTTTCGTCAAATTCCCAAGATTATAGTGAAAAGATCATTTAGTGCTGGGAGCTGCTCTCACATTCTTGGCTCTGGTATATTAATGGAGAAAAAAATAGGCTGTTTAATTTTATTTGGTACGTTTTATCTGAGTAGGAAAGCTAAATTTTATTTAAATTTAGTTTAATTATAACACTGTCATCGGATATGTAGAAGGAATAATCAATCAATTAATAAAACAATAGTTACTTGTTAGGCAAGGCTGCACAGTTGTTGTTTGATGCGAGTGCTTGTATTAAAACATGAGTAAGCTAAGAAAGTTAAGAAATAGATTCCTGAACTTAGCCAGGCTTTCAGGACACGCGACGCAAAACAACTTTGCTGCCGAAAATTCCTATGTGTTTGGTTCCTTAATAGGGAATTTGTTTGTTTTAAATGATGAGGCATGTTTAGCGACTTGTAACAAAACCGATAGCACAGGTGATTTGTGGCACAGAAGACTAGGGCATCTCAATCGATGAAGTTTACATTGGATGCGACTACCAACTAGTAACAAATCCTGCAAACCGTGCATGATTAGTAAGGCGACTCTATCACGCCTACCACACGGCGACTACCATTCGTGCCAACCAAAAGGCCACGTGCCAACCAAAAGGCCACGATTAACGTACATAGGTTAGTGAATTCATACCGTCATTGCAGATCCGACACGTACATCTGGAATTAATAGTGAAGTTTACTTTATTTTTATTTTACTCCACAGCAAAATGGCGTGTCCGAGCGGATGAATAGGATATTGTATGACAGAGCAAGAACACTATTACTAGCCGCTCAAGCGATATATGCAGCCATACACGCATACCACACCTAGAGGTGCCGGTGATGATTTTATACCGATTTATCGGATATCGAAGTCATAACAGGTAAAAGAACTAATATTAATTCCTATTTCGGTAACTACTCTACGAAACCATAAAGTTTTTAATGCCTGGGTCTGTCATTTAAAAAAATAAACAACTTCAAAAATATGTCACGACAATCGAGTGTGGTATTGTTTGGGCTGGTGATTTCGGTGTTTATTTATTGAAAAGATATAAGTATCGTTATAACTATATTTTAAGGAGTAATTTCATGGTAAACGTTAGAACCACTCAAACAGAATATTATTATATTTATCCAAGTACACCAAAAATTTAATTAGTGCTTTTTAAGTGCAGGATTTGCGGTGTATTATTGCATTTTATTTGAGATGTTTTTGTTGGTAATACGGAGGGTTTTTATTTAGCAATGCAGAATAATAATTTTTATTTATTAAAACTTGTATTTAAACTGAATGCTTTTCCAATTTGCGAAACCAAATGGCCGCCATTTTACGGTAGGAGGAGCGCATCGCGTGAGCGGCTAGAGACTAGTTTTCCCAAGCATTTATGGGGAGAAGCTATTGCGTGCGCGACCTATCAGTCAAATAGATACTCGTCTACGGCTATCGACTTAGAAACAGGTAGAACAAACCTATCAAGACTACTAGTATTTGGAAGCGAAACGTGTGTTGTTACCATGCCCAGAGGAGACAAACTCGAACCAAGAGCTAAAGACATGCGAATGCCTTCGTGCCTCCGTGGCCGAACGATTACCATGCCGGACTGCCACGCAGAGGTCCCTGGTTCGATTCCCGGGCCGAGAGAAATATTTGTATGGCCTACATTTATTTCTCTCGTGAGTTTGGGTGTAATTTGTGGTTATTAATGTGTGTGTCCATGGCACCCGCGACACAGAGTTTCCCTAGTGCGGGGCTATGTAGTTATATGATGACGGTACCCTAAAATCCGAGATGTTGAAAGATGGTGCAATAATTAACATGAAGCATAAAAGCTTTGGAATGCTACAAAAATCACGCCTGTGAAATTACTTAGAATTACACAGGCAGTAAAATCACACCACGACTCATTAAGGTTATAATTTATATTTAAATTTTTTACGACTTGTTATCGAAAAACCGAGAACTGCTTTACAAAGTAACCAGCGCATTATTCCATCGTTCGATCCCTTAGTATATAAAGACTGGAGCTGCGACTCCCAGACCATTCGATTGGTAACATCCGGTAACTGTAACCGTTGCCACATAAGTTCTTTATATCGATCGACACCTTCCAGTCTGTTGGACCGTTGTCGTATAAGTTCTTTATATAAATACAGTTTTTGTCTTAATTGGAAAAAGTGTTTAAATTCAGTTAATCCTTCCCCAAAACGTAACTACAGTAGCGAAAGGTTAATTCATCTCGACGAACCTTACACTCTATCATTTGCGTAAGAAGAGGAGAACTCTCACACCAAAAGTATAAGTGACAAATAATGTAGCCTGACACAACTATGTTGAGTGTGTGCGTTATTATTGTTATTAATGGTTGGATATTCACCTAATGGATATCGCTTATGGGAACCTAAAACAAATAAATTATTTGTATGGAGGGATGTACATTTTGATGAAAATGACTACATACACGTGGAAAAAGTCAATGAACAGAACGAAGAAAACATATTTAAACAGAACTTTCAAGAGGAAGTAAGAGAGTACTTAGGCATGGAAATAAAAAGAGAAGGTGAAAAACTGAAAATCAGTTAAACAAAATTGATAGAGAAGGTAATAAAGAAATTTGGAATGACAGATTGCAGAGGAACTTTAAGTCCTATGGAACATCGAATGTCAAATAAAGAAGAAACTGTAATTGATGTGCCTTATAAAAGAATTAATTAGGCACATCAATTATAGTATTCATGCATTCAAAAAGTCTGTCATCAAACAACGATACCCCACGGACTTGTATATTAAACTGGACCGCACTAAGTTAATAAAACGAGCCGAATGAGAGGCTTCAAAGTAGTAATGCGTCTCTTTCTAATAGGGTGTTCATTCCTTAGAATATCCATTCTCTAAGGTTGTTTCATGTTTCAACCAGCTATATTGTTTTTATTTTTTTAATTTTTACAGTAAATATGGCCGCTTATGGATGACCAAAACTACTAATATTATTTCATAATACAAATTGGTATACTTTTTTGATATGCTACTTCGTAATAGAAGGTCTCATTGTGTGATTTTTTTTTTGTATTATTGCAGTAAAAGCATATTATCTGTAAGCTAACTTTATTTAACCAAAATTTAAAAAAGTTAATAGACTAGACACTACCTACGATGATTTTATTTAGCATTGGCAACTTGTTAGACAAGGATAGACCACTACTTCGATCTATGTGACGTGCCTCGGTTTTTTACTTTTACTTAAAATAAACCTTAACCCAATAAGGTGTAAATTTGTAATGTGTTTATGATGTAATGTGATGTATATATATATATACATATAAATCCGTGCGATATCTTTGTATGCTAAATACTTCTATGCTTTTTTGTGGCTTTTTTAGCATCCCTCAAAGCAATGCTTCAAAAATATTTTGAACGTAATAGTTGTTGCCATAAAAATGAACGAATGGATGTTGAGATTTCGTTCGGTTCGGTTTCGATCTGTACTCGTTCGTCTTTCTGTCTTAAGATTTCACTTATTTTTACGTAATCGTGAAAAACCGAAATTATCAAAATGTTGGGTCGTATTGGCAGAAAGCATATCGAAACAGCAGCAGCATTCACGTCAACCGCTCTCGGCTTTGGAGGCGGGGCATTCTTAACGTTGCTGTATTTCACTGATTGGAAGGTTTTTGTTACCAACATTCCTTTTTACAACGGGAAGTTCCAGGGTCTCGAAGAAGAAAAGTGAATTGAATCCACATAACTCTCAATTCGGTTATGTACAATTTCTTATTATAGTTTATGAATATAAGTAAGTGTTAGTCTTGTTTTCTTGTTTCATTTGGACATAGTTATGCAAACTAGAACCAACCCACAAAATGTCACTTTCGAGATTAGATTTTTGTGAAAACGGTGTGAAGAAATAAACAGGTAAGTTATTTGAGACAAACAACGTGAGTTTTGTGTAGCATTGAGAATGATATAGGGAAACTATTATATTATATAGCAATTAATAGAAAACATGTATCTTTTTAGTTAACGAGAACCATGTTCTAGTTTTCGTAATGAAATCGTTAAATAACAGTGCTTCAGTACATGTGACATGGATCCACTTAGCATATTTTAAAAAACACATTATATGAACCAAGTTCTTAGGTTTTCGCGATTGTTACACTTAGGAAATTAAACTATTTTTCCGGATATAAATCTGAAAAAATTGAAATCGTCAATCCCGAAAAATAGTTTAATTACCTACATTATATGAAGTTAAGCAGCATGGTTGTTTTTAGCTATTAATAAGTTACTTATTTAGGGTTGGTACCCTGAAGGACTTTTATTTTCTCTGTTTTGGCTTGGTATATTGACAGAATCTTTTGTGAGCGGGTAAAGGAGACGTCTGGTGTTCTATCTAAATACATAGCTCAATTTCACTCGAGGTGTGGGTCCATTCTTGTTTGCATACCTATGTCCATTTTGTTTACCTTTGGAAATAATAATATGGAAATGTGGACAATGCTCCTGACATGTTGCCACTTATTTTAAATGGCCAATAAAGTGTATGGAAGGACTTTAGTAAACGTGACGTCATTGGTGGGTGAAGGGGAGGAAACCCCCTCTGCAAAATTTCAAAGGTAGAACGTTGATAGTTTTCGAGATGTAAATTTTTGACAATTTGAAAAATTAACTTCAAAATTATATATTTTCGCACCAAATGCATGGAAAAAAGGGTAAAAATGTGGGAATGAGGGGTAGGGGAGGGGAACCCCCCCACGAAGTTTCAAACACTTTAATAGTTTTCGAGAAAAAAAAATTTGAAAAATAACCTCAAAATCTTATACCTATATATTTTTTTTTTCTTTTTTTTGTTTTTTTTTTATAAATACATAACGCACACACTCAACATAGCCCCGCACTAGGGAAACCCTGTGTCGCGGGTGCCATGGACACACATATAGACAACCACAAATTACACCCAAACTCACGAGAGAAATAATTGTAGGCCATACAAATATTTTTCCCGGCCCGGGAATCGAACCTGGGACCTCTGCGTGGCAGTCCGGCATGGTAACCGTTCGGCCACGAAGGCAGAGGCAGTATTATGACGTTTAGTGCACATACGGAGTCCAATATCTACCTATATCGATCCAATTCGTTTTTTCTCAGAAAGACTTCCGCATTTATATAAAAAAAACCTAACTTAACCCACTAAATAATCCAATTCGTTTCTGCCCAGAGGGACTTCCGCGTTTGTATAAAAAAAACCTAACCTAAATAATGCAATTCTTTTCTGCCCAGAGGGACTTCCGCGTTTGTATAAAAAAAAAACCTAACTGAACCTAAATAATCCAATTCGTTTCTGCCCAGAGGGATTTCCGCGTTTGTATAAAAAAACCTAACTTAACCTAAATAATCCAATTCGTTTCTGCCCTTAGGACTTCCGCGTTTGTATAAAAAAAACCTAACGTAACCTAAATCGATCCAATTCGTTTCTTCCCAGAGGAACTTCCGCGTTTGTATAAAAAAAACCTAACTTAATCTAAATAATCCAATTCGTTTCTGCCCAGAGGGACTTCCGCGTTTGTATAAAAAACCTAACATAACATAGATCGATCCAATTCGTTTCTGCCCAGAGGGACTTCAGCGTTTATAATTTAATAACCTAACAATCTTTATACACAACGAACAACAACATAAATACACAATAAAAACACTGTGTAAATGGCTAAAACGCTTACCGCAAAAAGCCAAGGGAAATAAGAAAAAAACGCGTTTGTTTTTTTCTTATTTATTATAAATGACATGATGAGTCGTTCCGGGCCTTTTGGAGGGAAAAGTGTCGTTTTTATTTTGACTTTAAATTATTTTGTGAAATCTAGTTTAAAGTGGAATAGGATAGTGCTATTGTGCCTTAATCGAAGATTAAAACGCGCAATTATACGAATTTCGAACTAAAATAAGCTTCACAGGTAAGCGCTCCAAATGGCTCTCGCTTAGACTCTCCAATTGACTTTGGCGCAGCAGGTGCAATTCAGCATTATTAACGTCTCGGGCGAGTAGCGGACGCGGCCCTCCTCGTACGCGAGGACGTTTACTAAAAGCTTTTTCTCTAATGAGGCGTAAAAACTGGTGGGCTCGAGCTGTGGCACGGAGAAGCCGATACCAAGAAACAAAATCCTGACATTTTGGATGTACAATGTTGAAGGGCCTGGAAGGAGCTAACGTTAAAAAAGCTTTGACATTGTGATCACTGACTAGAGTACACGGTTCAGCGGGGAACTCTATTTGTCCCGACAATATGATGTCGGGGCCCCGTAGCCATCTGCCTACACAGAAAAAAAGGATTTCTACTAATAAGAAAGAGCAATTTCTCAAAATATTTGCTAATTCTGAAAAAATATTTGTTAAAAGTAATAAAATATTGTCATTACAAAGATACTGCTTATCTTTTTCTAATATAATTTTACTCTTAAGTTTATTCTAACTTTGAGACAAATACGTTCACTTCAAGATTTTATTTCATTTCTAATCAATTTTATTGGACATTACTTACATCAAGAAATTTTTACCTCTTACATCAAATTTAAATAATCTTATATGAAATTCAAAATTTTTTGGGTGTATTTTAAGAAAATATATTCTTAAACAAAAAAAGAAGTAGTTTTCTATCCAGATTAGTATTCTAAATTCTAGAGTATATTCTTAAAGCAACATTTCGTTGCGTTTTCATAGTCAATGTTGTCGTGACATGTCGCCGAAGGCGCACGCGGTAACGTTTACTTTTACTTGTGCTTGTAATCATAAAAATCATAAACAGTCATTTATCCAAAGAAACAATACGTAGTATCTCTAGTTTGTTAGGGTGTTATTTATAGTCATATTTTAAGAAATTTGGTTACGGCATGAAATCAAACTACATTTGTAACAAGCACAACTTTAACATGCAATTAGTTCCATCACGCCACTGCTAGATGGCATTAGTTGTACTCTGAAACGCGCTATCGTTTTGTTAACTTCAATAGTATAAAGTCATCTCATATATTTTGAATAGTTAGTGCATTCTGCCGCTGTAGCATTTATACGGCATTGAATGGTCCTCAAGTATGGTTTGGCACTGAACTGGTGTGCTTTCACGCCAGTGAGACATACTGTTGGGTCCATAACCCTATAAATTTACCCTTTTTGATATTAGAAAACATAAATCTTCAGTCAAATAATTAAGTACTTCTCAATTTTTCATTCTTTTTTTTTTCAAATCAAAATCGGACATTTCTAATAACAAATAAATATTTTGTTGAATCTAGAGTGGCTTTGTGACTTGAAGTAAATTAATTTGCTCTTGGATTAAATATTTCTGTCTTATAACAAAAATACACTTTTGAGACGTTTTTTTACTATTATCAAGTAATTATTCTCTAGCGTCTATAGGGAGAGGATCGTTTTGTTGGATTTAATAAATTTGTCTTCATAAAAAGAATTTTGTCTTTTTCTAAGTAATCTGTTTTTACCGTGTAGCGAATCTATACCACCTGTCACGATTCGAGTGGCATCATCAGCCACATTAAGCTCGGATGGAATCCAAAACCACTCCTGAGGTTGAGTAAGCTCGGAGATTTCGCCAATACGATTTCTCACGAAGGTGTTGGGATCACCAGCAGGTCTTCGGGAGGAGGTCCTGTACACACCTGTACTACTCGAGGCGGAAGGCGTAGTAAATTCACGTTCGCTGACGCATGTGTCTGTTGAGCCACTGGATGCTCCAGCACTAACGCCTAATCACTTCCTCTTGGGCCAATCGTCTCCACTCCACGGACCACTAGATCTCACGGACAACGATCTGGTACGACGATCCAATTGGAAAAAAGCCGTGAGACTCACAGATCATTTCTGGAATCGATGGGTGTGGGAGTATTTACCGCTGTTGAACCCAAGAAGAGGACACAATACACCCGTCAAAAATTTAGAGGTCGGCGATGTCGTCGTGATATGCGATGGTAACCTACCGCGAGGAGTGTGGCCTAAAGGCAGGATTGTCAAAGTCCACCCCGGTAGACACCACATTGTCGGGGTAGCGGACGTGAGTACGGCTGGTGGAATTTTAAGGCGTCCAGGCAGGAAGCTCGCAAAGCTGGACGTTAATTTTGATACTCACCAAACCCGTCCGACCATAATTCCCATACATCATTTTTACCCTCCCGCCCATCTTCTGGGAGAAAAATGACGCCAAAGGGCAGAAAATTCACATGTGTGGCGGCCATCTTGGAAAATGGCGGAATCAAAATTTTGACCCCAGTTTCCTATTGTGGACTCTCATACACGGCAGTATGCCAAATTTCAGCCGGATCGGTGCACTTTTATTTTGGGCCCCAATTTTGAGTCGGCCATCTTGAAGAAATTTTGTCACCGGCAGTTGACCCCCATCGCTTTCTATGACATTTGGTCGAGAACCGCCCGCCTATCTCCAACACTCACCGAGCTATAAGGCTCTGAAATTTGTATGGTGGCCATCTTGTATTTTCTAATTTCGATTTTTTTTCACTTCCGGTACAAACTGACCAAGATGGCGGCCATTTTTAGTTGACGACCTTGCTGATAGGTGTTATACTTTAGCCGCGCAGCCTGGGTCCCACCAGATGCAGTCCATTTTTCGAAGGTTTCGAATTATTCATAGTACCTACATAGTACAGGAAATTCGGCGGTAGTTTGGCATTTTTTCCCCCAAAATACTTCTCTTTGGTATAGCTTTCAAGAAAATGAAATCTAACATAGAGACGGTTGAGATACAACAACGCTATAATAAGTATCTCATGTCCACTACATTGGAA